CAGAATAACGTTTAGTTGAGGTGAAAAAAATAGCTGAAAAAGCTCTAAATGATTGGTCAACGTGGGGCAAACAGTGTTATAAGCTAAGGCGCGCTGTCATACAAACTACGTGGACGGTATAAACCATAACAAGTAAAGTCTCACGTGAAAGAGCATACAAAACTACATACACTCCATATTGTTAGCCCCGATCAAACGACTATGACCACAACGTTGCATTAACACGGTACAGGTGCAGCCGTCTTCCATACCGATTGCCTTTTTTGTTTCCGTGTAACCACTAAAAATTCTAATCGATCGTTTTTCATGAGATGCTGCTTGTTCAAGTAATACTGTGAAACGGACACATAAGTGAAACCTCAGCAGTCGGTTTTATGACAGGAAAACGACACAGGCGAGACCATCGTAGTGTTTCTACGATAAGTGGCTGAATGCATATGCAAGTTTGTTAACGACTAACGTACTTTTCAATCTACTTCTTGGCTACTAGTTGCCCTCCCTCTGCAATGTTACCTTAAAAAATTTGGTGAGTCTTTACTACAGTCATTAAGAAATCGCAACAAGCTTTGTTCGTGGCGGGCAGATGCAAAAACTGGTCATGATGATGACTGCCAAACTCACTTTAGCGAAGGAAAGTACGGATCTGTCCATCGACTTAAGCCGAGCTGTATTATTATTTGACTCTTGCAAGGCGTACGACACTGCGAATCGTGATTTTCTGTACGCGTCATTCCGGAGCTTTCAGTTTGATGAAGTGTTTATCACACTCGTCATTCGGATGCATACGGGAACTACCGCCCGGTTTATGGGGAATGGGGAACTTTCTGAAATAGTCCCTGTTCGGTCTGGGATACGCCAAGAATGTCCTCTCGCACCGCTTCTTTTTCTCATTGTGTTCAAATACTAGGAGTTGTCTATTCACGAGGCATCCACTACAAGAGGAAATCCGTTGCGGGCTGGCGGGGTGACGCATACATTTTCCGCTTTTGTGGACGACTCCACCATTTTACTTGAGCATATTTATCAATTAGCACCTGCGTTAGTGCTGGTCAATCGATCTGGACAACCATCTGACCTTCACGACCAGCCTGCCGAATGCAAATTGATTTATTGAACACGACTGTCAGCCTCCAACAGTACGAAGGCATCTAATTTTTACAACACAATAAGTCGACGCGATCCTAGGCTATGAAGTGGGGATAGGGGCGTAATTAATCGAAACTGGGCGCTACGACTTCAAAAAACTCCGTAGACGGCTTCTCACTGCCGCAAAAGTTGCAACTAGTGTGCAAAATCGAGACCTCATTCTTAACACGATTATTTTACCGGCTATCCTGTTCACCGCAGCCATCATCGATGTTCCAGCGTGAGCAAGAACAGAAATATCTCGGCTGTATCGCCAATAACTTTGGGCGCACGCTTTTACGCCTACCTTCCGTCTGCACATATTATACCGGGTCTACTCTTTACGCCACGGAAATCGAGCGGATTTGGGCCGGCCTCGTTCGAGGTCGCCGTTAAAACTCAGCGAATGAAACACGCGTTAATATGGCTAATTCAACCACATGACAAAAAATTTACAACATGGCGGCGCTGTAAATATTGCGTGAGTGTTCCACATTGGCACTTGTCCCGGCGCTTCATCCGCTATCTCATCAACTTTCGCCACTGTCTGGGGACCCGGCAGTCCCTTTCCGGCGCAGGACCTCGAACAGCTCCTAGCACTTCTCCCCCAAACAAGTGATGTCGATTCGAGCCAGATCGGAGGCCCATCACGCTCGATTGTCGAACGGGCGCGCAGGTAGCGGGACGGCAACGACTGGATAATATCATTTCATCACAAGTTTCATGACCATTACGCTATGTTTGAATTACGGATGAATGCATTTGCCGCTTTGTGGGGCCACTTTCACTGGGATGGCAACCCTTGGATTCTAGGGACTGACGGCAAGACCCTCGTGCGGACCAAATTTGACCGAATACCCCCATGTTCACAACGCAGGCTTTGCATCCGACGAACGGGGCCGCAGAAATTTCTGTTTACGATTTCATCGCTCGGCGGAACTTCGCCTAGGGTTTTGCATTGTAAATTACAACGAAAAGCAACTTCGATCCTGCTCGCGTCACCCCACCTTGCTGTAGGTGCGGGAACGACAGAGCCTGGGCTTGTCCTACTTAATCCACATCCGTCTCGGCGCGGAAATCAGTGGTCACGGATCCGGGCTGATTTGTCGTATCATGTCGGGACCCCGTTGGGTCCGGGGACTCAACTATTCGCCTCCGCCAAGATGTCAATGGAATTCATTGGTCGATTGAAGGTGTTTACTCGAGCTACGGGGATCGCCTGAGCAAGTTTATCACTACCGAGGACACACGCAACATCGTACTTTGGTTTTTCTCGCCCAACCGGAATTTCATCAGTTCCTTTGGAGTGTGCCGGAGACGGTGGCCAATATCGATGTGAGGATAGCGATATTGCGGCAAGCGTTTCACTTTCATAAACGCCTTCAGCGCCCAGAACTCCAGTCATATACATGTATGGCCTACGATTCGCAGACGATCACGAGTACTTGGCAATCAGCTGCATTATAACAAATACCTTCCCACGTTTGGAAACACGCAAACGGGCTAACGGAGTATCAAGTATGGACATGCTATCGTATCACCGACAAGCAGCTGAATTATTTTATTCCGGCCGCACGCATGACAACAGTTGCCGTAAGGGGTGCTGCAATGCCGGGGTGCATAGAGACTGCGGCGCATATTTTCTGGGACTCCCTCAGCACACAAGCGTGTTGTTGTCAAAAAATAAGACACTGGACCGGAAAGTGCGCGACGAACGTGGTCGTTTCCACCTTCTTCAGCCACTGAGCCAATCGCCAACCCCCGCCAATTCCATGTCAATTGAGTCTGCGGTTACAAAACCGATTTCAGATGACTCTGACGCCACCGCAACAGAATTCGAACGGATCTGATTCTTCTTAAGCTCCATCTGCCAAAAAAATTGTGGACCGAGCAAAAATCCGGTGGTCTTAAAATAAACTCGTGACTTCTCCATCCGCAAGCGAATAAACGCACTGGAAACAAGGTGTTCGCCAGCTGCGGCAACTTCTGTACGTAGGGTCCGACTACATGCATGTCTTTAATCACTGATACAAGAGCCCCGGTGACACCCGCCCTAGGCGGGTGTCAGAACTTCCCAGGCATCTTGCAAACATTATATATGTAACTGGATGATCATGAAAATCCTCCTCCAACTTTGCCTGACAAATTGATAGATGGAATATCGGAACGATGGTCTGTGTACATGTCGGATGCATCAATAGACCGATTTCTGGTTGCACGTGTGAAGCAGACGGTTCGACACGGCATGCTTCACTATATGTGCAAGGCATACTCAATTTTCTTTAGACTCCGCATGTCCAATTCTAGCAAGGCCACACGCGGAGCCGAGACTTCCTCTGCAAATCACGAACGTTTCGTATCTCTGGTTGCACGGACGCATGTACACATAAAATATAGAGCTCTATGAGTAGTCCTCCAAACTTTGCAAGCGACACTATTGCTCGCGTGGTACTGTGCTGAGCAACGTATCGTCGTGCGGCAGCTTTATTGCAGCATGGTATTTCAAATCACATCCTTACGTGCTACCGTAGACGATACCGCGCGCGGGTCCATCCATCACGTTTTTTGTGGCGCATATCAGATTTCTTATTACACGCCGATGTGCTACATTCCATATTGACAGTCAATTTGCTTTTTATAGCATCAAAAATTGTTAAGAAATGTGAGCTTTCATACGAAAGACACGCATATCATTAGTGTGGTGGATTGCGGCATAATAAAGTAGTGAGTCCTAAGTAGCAATCGTATAAACTCTATCGTTGCAATGAAATGATTCGTGAGTATGAACTCTATCGTTGCTTCTGAGAACATAGCTAAGCTAACTTACTTTGGTGACGCTTGCATAGTCACATTACGTGGTTCTTAGGCGCTCAGATACTCTCTTCTCCGGCTAACTTCGGTGCGAAAAAGTTGACGATCAGTCTCGGTATTTTTAAACATAAACAAGTTCGTACATGATCGCAATTGCAGAACTGACTAAAAAGACATGCACATACTGGCTTTGTAAGTGTTGCGGGTTCTACACTTTTACTTTTTTTAAAACCTTCGCTGCACGTTGCAAATGCTGTGTCTACCCAAGTCGAGTTCGAATGACTGGATGGCTCGAGAACCTTTCCATACACTGCGAAGGAAAACTCTACATGCAGGACCCAGATTGAGACATCGGTTTTGCTACGCTCCACCGTCGTTGGTTTGAGAAAACATATTCCTTCGAAGGCAAGGTCTGTGTCCTTTACAATACCCTACACGATGATACGAAAGACAGACGACCCAGGGCTCTGTTGCTGTGTTCCTAAACAGGACGCACGGCTCAGGTAATTTGTTGTTTAGTGGCTGGATGTAAACGAATCCATGCGAATGTCGTTTCTACGTCGAAGTCCGTAAGCGAATCTCGTGCGCGAGACGCCGCACGGCCCATTCGTTGTTGTTACCTACAAAACATTCAATCGAAAATTCGACGACGAGCTCACTCCGTTAGGTTTATGTGTGCAACATAGACGTGCGTTGGTGGTGCTAGTGTGTCTTTTCTCATCAATTGCAGCTGCGACCACCCGAAAACTTCCCTACCACCGCTTTGATCCATTCTGAAGCTTTGCAACTTCATCGTCTATGGTACACGTGAGCTGGCTGGAAAACCACTGTTTGTGGTAGAGGTTTCGCGTCCAAGTGGTGGATTATAAAAAGACACACGTGTCGAATTGTAGTCGGGCATGCGACTGAAACACCGGGTTCGTGGACAGAATTGAATTGGTGATCGAACGACATTGGTGATCGAACGACATGAGACTATCGTCTTTCCGACCCTTCCAGTAGATTACTGAGTCACTACAGCGTCGTCAGCGTTTTCGCTCTCAGTTCCAGAAAAGTTGGGATCCATGCGTCTCATTACGTCATCTCTCGTGTTCGTGCTAGCGCCGACTCCTGCCTCTGCTTGGTCCTTCTGGTCTTTGAATGGCATGGATGGCACTAAAGATGCGAGTCCAGCTGATCGATTCGACGGAGCTGACGTTGAGCCTCGGCCGCCTTTGCTCGACGCCAATAGCTGGTTCCTCACGAAAGAAGAGATCACGGTCTCGCGCGGCGGTATCCCAAGAGACGACTTGTCGGTGTACACGACGGGCAACAAGATTTCTTCCTACACGGTGACGAATGAATTTTTTAATGCAGTGTACGACGATCTTACTGCGACGAAGGCGGGAGACAGGGTCATGATAGCTGCCTGGGTGCTGACTCAGGTGCCACTGAAACCTGACGTTGATCCAAATGGAGTGACAAGTGGTATCAAGGAAGTGCTGGCTGATGTAGTCGGGCGCGGTGGCAATGTCAATATCCTCAACTGGGCCACGATCGCACCCGGATACTCTGATGAAAACATCAAGGTGCGCGATGCCATTAACAGCATTCCGCCGTCTCCGATAAATGGTGCAAAGGCAGTATTCATCTTTGACGACCGTTATCCCAACCCTTTGACATCACACCACCAGAAGAATCTGGTTATTGCAGCGAACCGCTCGACGGATTCGAACGAGCAGCCGGTGGCTTATGTGGGAGGAATGGAATTTGCTTACGATCGATGGGATACGCTCTTCCACAACAGCTCTGACGCCCGCGAAGCTGCCGGGATCAGTCGGATGGGTGATGGATGGATAGACGGACACATTCGAGTCCATGGTCCTGCCGCCAAGGACGTGGCCAGTAGCTTTGTGACCCGGTGGAACTCGGACTATTTACCATGTCAAGGTATCGACGACACTTTTCGAGGTTTTGGAAACCCGAAGTACGAGCACATCCTCCCGCTCGACTACGCCAGTAGCAATATCACAGGCTCTTTGGGCAACCAAAGCGTTCAGATCACACGAACCTACAGCTGCTTGTACGACCACTACGAATTTGCTCCGAAGGGTGAAATATCGCTGCTTTGGGCCCGTATCAAAGCCATCAAGAATGCCAAGAATTTTATATACATCGAAGACCAGTACTTCATTTTGGTACCGGAGCTTCTCGATGCTATCATGCAGGTCATGCCGACAATTCAGCGCCTGGTCGTGATCACGGGTCCGCAAAATGACTTTGCGGGGTACGCCAATTTTTTGTACGAAAACGTCGAACCCATTCGCTCGAAATATCCGAACAAGATTAAGATCTACACTCCTAAGGCTGATTTAGAGATTATACTTCATTCAAAACTTTTGATAATCGACGACGTGTTCCTGTCCATCGGTTCGGCGAATTGGAATCGCCGGAGCATGACTTCAGACTCGGAGCTCAATGCGGAAGTTGTGGACGGTGACTTGGTGATGGCCCCAGAAGGATTCAATGTCGGCAAGTTGCCACGCAACTTTCGTATCCGCAAGTTTCAAGAGATGACCGGCCTGAGCTACGACAAACTGAATGCTATGACGTTTGTTGGGGCCTCAAAACAGTTGGCTCTCGCCGTTGCTGATGGCACATCAATCTTGGTAGACAATAAGATAGAGCATAAGGTGTATTTCTTTACGATTATCGATGCAATATGGAAGGGGGTTGATCCGCAGGACACGTGCAAGTAAAACGGAAAGAAAATGTAATGGGAGTAAAAATCAGCAGTGTTAGTTGTACCACTATTGTTTTTGAAGAGGCGAACAAGAAACGACGTTGTCGAGCACAACACTGTTGATGCTCCGACTGAATGTGTCAACAGAGCATAGTACCACCTCAACCGACAATGGCATAACAGTGTGCGAGCTTGTCGGGGATTAAATGTGTTTTGAAGCCGCCGCATGCAGCAGGCAATGCAGCAACTGGTACTTAGCAACGTTGAGGCACCATAAACTTCTTTCAAATTTTATATAGCGTCACGTCATGTGTCTTTCGCATTAATCCGTAGCGATGTTGTAAAGAACTCAGCCCTATGTATGGGTTTACGCTTAGAATACTTATGCGTGACTCTGAATCTGTCAAACCTGATATCCTCGATCGTTTGGGGTCCCTTCTTGCGTCGACCCTTCTAGAATTTGTCACAAAAAGGGCCACAACTTGAGTCAAGGTTTACAAATCTAAAGCCTAAACATTTTAAACACAAGTCATTGGTTTGAAATGAAGCAATCATGTGTTGGAATACGCTGCTAACACTGCTAAATTGTGACTCAGAGATCTGATGGATCGAATGCGTGACACTGGCAATGCCGATATCACGCTCATTGAAAAGGCAATGCGCGTATGAGTTTTGCTAACGTATTTTTTTCCTGCTCGCTGCTCACTACACTGGTGCGAATGTCGTTTGGCGGACTGTCGTTCATTAAACTGTAATTCAACGATAAGCCTAACTACGGAGTCTCGATGTGAAAGGCAAAAAAAGTCGTGCAAGAGAGTAGCTCAAAAGTCAACACGTAGAAAATAGAGTAAACGCCCACTGTTATAGAGTAAGAAGCGCCAAAACGGAGAAGATAAAAGTAAAATCTGGAAGGTCGTTTAAGGCCTGCGTTGAAAATGAAACAATTTAAATTTTATTAGTACTTTGGGTGTAACGGGGTAGCCCGTTACATGAAATTGACACCAAACGGTGTCAATAGGAATATTCTCTAGCATGACAATATTCTACCAATATCATCCGAGATGGATAATATTGAAGTAAAAATATCCCCTTTTGGATAATATTCATTCACTGCTCCAAGATTGGTCGATATAAGACATATCAACCATAGATTACCACCAATCGCTGCTAGACGCGCGCAATGAGTGGTGAGCAGGTTGTCGTCATACGATGACGTAGTTTAACATAGTTAGATAAAGATTAAAGTTAAATTGATAGCTTAACTATATTAAATACAGTTCTCTTTTTACCCGTTACTTAACACAGTCGTTGAGTGCATAAGCTTCCTCTGCACGTACTGGTGTAAGTGAAGTTTCGCGGCACCTCAAAGTTAGGGTGACCCGTTACATTAGGGGACAGTCGTGACTTTTTAGATAAAAAGTCAATCCTTTTTTTGCTATAAAAACACTTCGAACAGCCAGACATGATTAGTCAAATCTATGTGTGAGACATTTCAGTTTACAGCATACCCTGCGACAAGTAATTTACTTTCCCCCTCTAATTTTTCCTTCTATTAAAATCGTAAAAATCCACACCAAATGTCGACAGTAATATCGCGTCGCCAAGTGGGTGGGTGGATCTAGTTGCCAGGTACTACTTTACTACCATTACTATCACCTTTGTAAGCTTTCCTTTATTGCTTCCTCCGCTCTCGCTAGTATTTGTTGCTTGTCATCGTTCATTTTTCTCTCATTTGTTAAACCATGAATACAACCTCTGAGTGTTCGTCAATCGACGAGACTTTTTTTTCTGCAATAAATCCTTTCGATGATGTCATTATCGCCTTGGCACCATATCAGTTTAATTATGGCGTGAGGAACATGGACGAACGTTAAAGACGCCGAGCATGCGGTGCAGCCATGGGTGCAGCTGTTGTTTATCTCTTGAAGCGTAGTCGAAATTAGCGCGTACACAAGTCCACGGTATAGTCAAACTCCAATAGTTTTGAATAGGTGAGAGGTTGTACACCATGAGCGGATCCACGTGGAGAAAATACACGCATCAAGAGATGCAAGGAAGTTGGTTTCAGCTTCGAGCTTGCTCGAAAAATCGAAACATTTTTTTTAATATTTTAGACCAAACAGTGTAACAATCTGGCGTAATTACACGCCTAATTCTTGGATCTTGGATGCTAATGGTTAACCAAATTTTAAGTATGCACCGGACGCACTAATAAGGAGCAATGTTATTCCTTTCAGAATCCCGGAACTTTTCTCCTCACGCGGAAGCTATGGGCAGCGTTTGGTGAGACCATGTATCAATTTGAAAGATGCACGCATGGCATTTCAAAGAATAACATCCACGAAAATATCTGGGAGGTAAAAACAAAATTTCTAACACTCTTTGCGACACAATTAAGAGCTTCAGATGGAAGAAGGACTTAGAGATGATAACGATGATTCTGGCAAGGACATCCATATAGGAGGCACTTTTCTTTGATTGCGCGTGGATAAGCAATTCGTTTTGACTCATCTTGTTACCCGATTAGTAATCTTCGTTTAAAGGGCAATCATGAGCAAAGGGGACTATCAACCGTATACAGCCGAACTTTTAGCCTTTGTTTGTCCGTATCGACTATATGAAACTCATACGGTTCGTGTTGCTTTTGTATAATGTTTTCGTTGGGTGGAAACAATTAAGGGCGGGAAATGTACATAGTTTTACCATTTAAGATACACCATCTCGCTAAAACTTGAAGTCACGGTAAGGTAGTGCATACACCTTTAGATCGTGCCTGGAACGATGTCTGCTTGAATGCTCATCTGATTTTTTTCATGTAGCTTAATTTCTGCTGCCGATACAACATGTTGTGACATAACTATAGTCTATCGTAAAACGTGTCAAACATGTCGAGAAAAAATGCAGATAAAATTGTTGCAAGTGCGCGACCACCACAGCGACTCTTCAATTCTGCAGAAAACCTGTGGGATAATGATCGTAAAATTTTCGTGACAGGAGTGCACGGTACTTGATTGCACGTAAAAGAGAACTTCTTTGCTGTCTCTTCGTCCAGCTGCTTTAAAATGCTGATAAGCAGATAAAAGCAAAGCTACTTTTTTGCGCGATATCGTTAAAATCCTCTTCGGCTCGTGAACTACATTTTGATGCTGCTAAATTAACATGTAATTGTATATTAAATGTTATAATCGTATCCATCGCCATCTCGTTTCTTTTTTTTATTCTGTTGATAATCAAAGCTTGTACGTAAAATGCTGCTGTGTAAAGTTGCACGTAACGTTCATGATCTTTTACACTTTTTAGCGTAGTTGGCCGATACAATGCAAATAATTCCGCTATAAATTCCGGTCTGTAGAGAAGTTGGTGAACCTACATACGATTGTGTGACGCTCGCTATTATCTTGCACCAGATACTCGCAAGTATGGGCTAAAAACATTACGCCCACCTGGAGGCTTAAAATATTGGCACGCTGAGGAAAAAATATTAGTCTCCTGGTCAATGCCATTTAGTTGTGTGAGTGGCAGTGCTTGCAGGGTATTTAAAATTGAAAACTGGTAATTGTAAAATTTGATATTGAGACATCAAAAAATGCTGACACATCTGTGTTTTTTTAATAGAAAAGGGAAGTAAATATGACCAAAGAGTGAAAAAGTTAAACAATTCTCTAGCTTTAGAAATCAACATCGCTATATTTGCACTTTATTCATAAAAGTTTTCGAAGGCAAATTTGTTGTGTGCTTAAAAACCGTTGCATCTAAAATAATTTGCGCGTGGCACACCAGCTGAACGATAACGATAGGAAAGTTATGTATACGTGCTACTCCAATTAGAATCACTAGCTAATTTGATTGCATTATGTGCCTTTTTGTCTTCCTACCAATGCTTTCTACCATCGTTGAGGCACACTTTTGCGATATCAGTGGCAGTAAGTATGTAGATAAGCAGAGCTGGATCGCTCACATAATTCGAGAGCGGTCAGCAAAATTCCTACAAAAAGATCACGTGACGCTTAAAAATATCGCGAGACAAATTGGGTGCTTTCGTAGGGCATCCCAGTTTTTTTTTTTACTCCACCACCTAAATTACAAAGCCAATTTCTGGAAAACCGAAGAAGCTGACAGATAAGGCTTAGCAAAGACTGACGTGGGAGGCCTTTAAGACGTAAACGGTGCTAGATCGCTTGCGTACACTCTGCAGATACCTTTTTCGAGGCGAAATTTGTAAGGAGTACTGCGTGACACCATTACATAGCGCTATGAGAGGAGAGCGGGTTGTATAGTACAACAGGATAACACAGAAAGCTCGCCTCTACCGGGGGACTGAGATCGAGGATCACGGCAGCACCAAAACCTCTGTAATATGTAAAAAAGAGATGAAACTTATTCTGGATGGACCGTACGGATTCCATAACTATTCGTGCAATCTGCTACACGTTAAAAAATGTCTACACTGTCAATGTGCTATTTAAATCACGTTTGTGAGTTTGTGGGGTGCACTTAGTAACTAAGGGTGTTCCAATTTAGAGTTTCTGGAGGGCAACCAGAATGCAGTAAAACGCACTTTAGTATTCGAAGTCTACTTTTTATCATTAGTGCATCTAAAGCGCTTTCAGTGTTTAAGGTTCTGCAGGAACATACATCCTTCACAGCAAAAAGGCTTAAAGGGTTTTCGGGGTCAAAAAATCGGTACGATGGATTGGTCTGTTAGTTCTCGAAATTTTACTTGACCAAAAGCTTGTGGGGACTTCTCAAGGGCTTTTGTTGCGTCAGGGAAGCTGTACAAGACAAGCAGGAGATTGTAGCGGTACCCAAGGAAGCTTATCAAAAAATTCTATGGCAACACTCACCTACCGGATCTTTTCCACGTACAAGCACTGCTTGCTAGTGTTGAAAGGCTAATACCTACAGATGATCTACTAAACAACTTACAGCACCGAATTATTAGCGTTGTATTGCTTATTAATTTGCAACTGGACTGCAATAACATATGGCCTTTTTTCATCGCGATCTTGGTATGCC